GTATTTATTATGTATAGCTTTTTTTTCCACTCTAGTATGTTGTGTGTTTGTTAGGAGGAGGAAGACTATAACGTATGTTCCTGTTTAGGGGAATAATTTAAATTTCCTTTGTGCATAGATTCGTGTGATAAGGCCGCCAAATTATGCTGGACCATTGATGTTAGGACTGCTGCTGGCTGTCATTGGAGGCCTTGTGTATTTGCGTGGAAGCAATCTGGATTTTCTGTATAACAAAACTGGCTGGGCATTTGCTGCTTTGGTGAGTAATTGTAACTCTTGTCTGCCTGTTGTCATGAGGTTTGAAACAATTCAAATGTCAAAAAGCCTTTGTTTAAAGAAGATCAAATTGGGTAGAGGAAAGTGGGATGCATTTACCTTTTCTTCTTGCTAGTCTGATAACACTATTTGGTCTTTTTTTTTCTTTAGTTAATGCTGGATTAGATGCTTTTGTGCTAATAAGGGATAGGGCAGTGCAAAGCCTGAGGTTGTATTCCAAGCTGATACTTTTTAGTATGAAATGAAAAGAAATTGGGTGAAACAAGACAATCCTCATTGATTAGTGTTCTTTCCTTTTTAGTGTTTTGTATTAGCAATGACATCAGGCCAGATGTGGAACCACATTAGAGGGCCACCATATGCTCATAAGAATCCCCATACAGGACAAGTGGTAAGCCAATTTTTTTTGTTTGTGTAGTTATTGTGTAGAAATACAATAGAAACACAGAAGAGGCCAACATTAAAAGAGGAAAGTCAGAGCGCAAATTCTATTCTTGACTTCTTAGTAAGTCAGTGAGGCTAATCTATCTTGTAGTCGGCAAGGCAAATTAGAGCTGTTGATTGGTTCGGAGAGGATCTGTCTTCTCTTAGAATATATGCCTGCGAAAGAAGGGTTTTATAGGTAAGCTATGGGAACAGGAAGAATGTTAGCGCTCCAGTCAGGATTTAGATAATGCTCCAAATAGCTTTATCCTTTCCTTGGCTCAGGTAGAAGAAGAAATTCTGTTTTGGAGGAAGGTCAGCATTTTGTGATCGTGTAGTAGTAGAATAAGAGTTGGCAAACAAAGCGTTGTGTTCTGTAATGGCTATGTAATGATTTCAACCCTGTCACCTAGAATTGCATCTTAATAGGAAGGTCATTGCTCCAGTCTTTTCTTGTTCAGTGATCAGTATTAATTCTGTAGGAATGGTGGTGTTAGTTGTGTGATGCTCTAAGAGTAAGAGGTGTGAGAGAAATATTTGAAGAGTTCTAAGGTCAACATTGCTTCTTAGGTTTTTTGTTTCTTTTTTTTTTCATAGGTGTATTGCTTTATAGGTGTATTATTATTTTAAAAGCTTTTTAAGAGAGAATAAGAAATGCAATTCTCAATCAGACTAGAAATGTTAAGATTAATTTAGTAGGTAATAACATGCTCAGTTTTGTGTTAGAAACTGCTCAAAGTGCTCCCCAGGCAAAAAAGTGATAGGCAGTAGTCATCTGGATGGTACTGTGTTGGAAACAGGGCATACTGGTTCTAGAGCGTTGCCTTGGAGGTTTTTATTTTTATTGCTTTAATACAAAAAGTTCAAGGTGTGTCTTGTTGTAGAAACTTCAAATTTTCAGCATAGAAAGCTAAGCAGATACCAAAATAATGCCCTAGGGCACAAGGGACAGCATACTGAGTTACCAAAGCTATTTGCTAACAAGAGATCTGAGGCAGGGAGTTCCTTCCTTGCTTTAGAACCTAAGGTAAGCATATCTTTCATCCTTCTTATTGTTTTGTGTCTCCCCCTTAATGCAAGTAAAACATGTGATATGCTTGGGAAGAAGAAGAGGAGAATGCTTTTTCCTTAGCTATTGAGGGTAGATTATTTTAAATGACTTAATCTGTTCCATCTCTGGCCTTCCTATGCATCTTTTAGCGATTCCCATTTGTTTTCATGTTTTCATATTGATGCTTACTTGTCTATGACTTTGCTTTACCCTTTCACGTACATAGGTTGTATCTCTAGCTATGAGGAGACTTGAGAGATCTAAATTGTCAAAAGCAAAATACAGGTGCTTATGCTGGGTCTTTATATGTAAACAGTCTTATTGCTAAGCCTGGCAATTTCATACAAACCCTTCTCTTAGCTCTTCTACCTAATAACTCCCACATAAACCTGTTTTGAGGTTCTTGTCATAAGTTATGGATGCCTAGTGACCTTAAACTTGTGACATCTCTTTCTTGGGAAAGATTAGCTTTAGTAAGGCGTGATATATGCTGCTATACGTAATATACTATATACATAATAGAGCATGAGAATCACTGTAGGAGTAGGCTGTACTGGGGATATTGCATCTCTCGAGATACTTGCGCATACTGGCTCTTCTCATGTATTTTACTCGGAAAGGGATGAATCTGGTAATGTCCTTTCATGTCCAGTTAGGTGGGTTCAGGCCCTCTGATCTTTTTTCATTAAAAAGCTGATCTGTTCATCAAACATGCTTTTCTATGTAAATATAACATCGCAGGACATAGAACTTCCCATGAGGGATTCAACAACAGTAGGCTTGACCTTGGAGTTCAGACTTTGTCACCCCACTTGGGGGTGGGGTGGGGGGGGAGGTTAACAAATAAAAATTTACTAACCCTCTGAGTCAACTTGTAGAATGGAAGTTCTTATTCAAAACGTTTTCTCAGAAACGTTTCCTTTTGTTTTGCAATATTTCTTCTGTTTACGTCGTTTATAAGCCTTTTTTGATCTTAATATGGAGACTAAAGAGTAAAGTTGCAACTGTTAGTGATGACTTTCCTTTTCCTGGTATGCCATGGGAAAACTTGCAGTGCTGGTGAGTAGGGTCTGCGTGCAGCTTGAAGAGAATGCCCCTCAGCACAAGTGCAATGTAGGCAGCGTAAGGATCTAGGTCTAACCTGAATACCAGACTTGGATAACAGTGGGTGTGGGAGGACATGGCTGTGGTATTTTGCACTGCAAAACAGGGAGTCTGGGTCATGAAGGTCATAGCTGTACTTGCATTATTATAATCTGAACACTGTTTTGGGCTGATTGCACTTGATACTAGAGGGGAGAGATTTGACAGTGCCCCCCTCTCCCCTCCCCCCAAAAAATCAGTAGTCAGCAATTGAAAATTTTCACGCGCTTTCTGGGCTACTACTTCTGTATCTCCTGAAAGAGACGGTGCAAAAACAGTTCCAAGCTTTATAGCTGTTGTTAATTATTCTGACATTGACTCCAGTCTGTCTTATAGTTAATTACTTTTTGTCTCTTACAGAACTATATCCATGGAAGCAGCCAAGCCCAGTTTGTGGCAGAAACGCACATTGTTCTTCTGTTTAGTATCCTTCTTAGAGAGATGTGTGTGGTTGGTGATGGTTTTTTCGCTAACTTATGCTAGTGTCTTGTCTTTGAGAGTACTTTGTCAAGTCTCGTATCTGTCATCTAACACTGATGCAGAACCTTGTAGAGTTTTCCTATGTTGACAGCTATGTTTTTCTTATGCCAAAGATCTTTACGTTGAGTAGAAAATCGTTTACTGATCTTTCTTGCCGCTTTCTTCCTTGCTCTATTACTGAACTGAATACAGTGTTAAAGGTGTGGATGCTTGTGGAACCACAAGATTTATTAAAATAGCTCCTGTTCTTCTGCGTGTCTCATCTTTTTTGATCTCTCCTACTTAATCATTCTTGCTTTGGTGTTGAATTCTTTTCTTTATTACTGATCTTTCTTCTTTTATTTTTTTGCTCATCTTCTTTACTTTTAGTCTTAGCTCTCATTGATAATGATTCAGGATTTTTTCCATGCCAGTATTATTCCATCAAGAAGAGCGAACAGAAACTTGCATGTTGAGAGCTTTTGCCTTTTCCATTTATTTAAAAATGTTTCTTTTGAGTGATAGGAATACTCTGAAATTCAATACTTTCTTCCTCAGCTCACGCATGTCTTTGATCAATCATCTGTAACTGTAGTTACAGTCTCTGACCCAAACTTTTCTTCCTCGTCTTGTTGTCTTGTCACCTATAACAGCCTATGCATTGTTTTATCTTCATTCATGAGTTCTTCTTGTGTTCCTTTTTTTTTTTTCCAAATGTTATCTTTCTTGCAGCTTTACAATCCCAAATTGTCAATGTTTTCATAGTACACCAGTGCACAGAATAGCAAACTTGCTTTTGGGCACATCAATTAGTTTCTCACTTACCTGTATAGCTTCAGTATTTAATTCAGAGTACCTGTCCCCTTCTGTACTGCTTGGCCATGTTTTATAAGTCTTTTCTGTTGCAAGAACAGTAAGGTTCTTTAACCCAATGACTATGACTACTTTCTCCCTTTTCTCTTCTTACTTTTTAATCTTTTCAATATCTTAATTTCACAAGCAGTGTATTGTGTTTTTTTTTCCTTATCAAATAATGTAAAGTAAGCAATTGATGTCTAAAAATTGTGATGCTGAAAGAGCTCTGTGGTCTTGCTGTGTATTTACTATAAAAATGTTGATGTGGTGTTGGTGGGTTTTTTTTTTTTCTTTAAACTGAGAAACTTGGTTTGGAGGAGGACGTCTGATTTTCCTTTCTCTAGGTATTGCTGTACTTCTCATGCATCTAATCAGGTGCGACCTAACAGCTTTGCTTATTTGTGCTAATGTTATCTTATTGCTGCCTCTAAAATATTGTACTATACATGCCATCGTGGACCAAATTTACCAATTGCTGTAGAACTTAAAAGTTGGCAAGATTCCTTTAGGTTGAAGTCTGTTTTATCCTGTGGTTCCCTTATGCCGAAGGTGGACTGCATTTGAAATTGAAAAGCCTCTTATTGTTCCCATAGCAGTCTGTGATAAATACTCCTCCTTTCATGAGCAGGACTGGGGCTGAAACATCTATGCTGAAATGCACTTAAACCTTAGAGTTCTGCGTTTTGTTTCAGTCGTTCCACAATTTTGCTTTAAGATTCGCTCTTGACAAATGTCAGGCCTTTTGAGTTGTCTGTGCTACCTTAATTTTAGCAGCTTTAATTTTTAAATTGAAAAATTAATACTTAAATGTTGCTACTTGAAAGATACCCTGTTATGTTAAATACTGTTTAAATATTTTATTAATTTTTTCAGCTTATTAAAATGCACCCATGTTAAATACCTCTTGAGATTTTTCCAGTAGTGTGTAGAACATGATTAGAAGCAGACCTACCTCTCTATAGGAAAGAGTGCTATTTCATTTCAAGATGAAATAGTAAATACAAATTTTTAAATTTGTGTTAAGAGACTCCCATATCTTCCAATTTATATTTTAAGGTAAATCATACAATTGAGTGCCTTTATGTTGCTTTTTTCCATAGTTGCTCGTTTGGCTGGGAAGTCATTACTTTGTTTTCAGTGAGTTTTAATGCCCCAGGTGTCAGGTTAGAGCTGAATTTATGAAATTAAGAATGAGTGTATTGTATTTTTGTTGATTTAGCCTTAAACAGCGCTCATAGATGGTGGTGTTACTTTAGGAATGGTACTCCTCCATGAAGCAGCTACTTCTGACATGGATGTGGGAAAAAGAAAAAGTAAGTACTTCTGTCTTACTAAGGGGAGGCATTCAGTAAAGATTTCTGATACAGACAGCAATAAAAATAAATTGTTTCTAGCAAACAACGGCATTTGGAGTTCCCATGGACTCTTGCCTTTCAGCCATGCAGTTGGTGAAATAGGCATGGATTACAGAGTAGAAGAAGTTAGTATTTCACAATTTGATCTTCTTTGAAGGGGAGGGAAAATAAAAAACAGACTCAAAGCTTAATGTTCTGACAACTGAAGAATAAGACTAGACTGTTCCACATGGCCTTGTTTAATAACCAGGTGACCTGAGGAGGATAGAGATAAGGCATCTTAAGACTCTTACTTTAGTAAACAAAGTAAACCATAACAAATGATCACAAAACAAAATCCTCTGGAAAGCACCAGGCACTAACTTACGAAGGATTTCATTATTTTAGCTGTCCAAGAAGAAAGAGGTAAGTTTTCCTTTTCTGATGTTGTTCTCATGTTATAGCTGTTTTTATAGCCGTGTTTCAGTCCTACATGTCTTAGGCGATACTTCTGTTTTGGAGTACATGAATCTTTGTCATTTTCCTTCCCCAGTGCTATTCATGAAGAGTTTCAACATAAAAGTGTGTGCAGGACCTATACCAGTCTTGTATAAAATGCCGAAGAACTTCTTTGTACATGTGCCGATTCCTCTCTACTGTTCTGATTGCTGTTGTGAACCAGTAGTTTATTGGTTCCTGCTCAGATTTCCTTAAAACAGTTGGACCTGCGGTGGGAACAAAGTGAAACAGACTTCTGCTTTACTCTGGGAGAGCACGCGTGTGTGCTTGCTGGTTTCTTTTCCTTACGTGGTTTATTGTGTACTTTGCACCTTTAAGCAGATGTGAATCCTCTGGTCTTTCAACTACACTTGGAGTTGCTTTTGGCAAAGTGCAAGATCAACTCAAAGACCTTCTGAGTGGAAGGGAGATGCACAGCTGCTTTGCAGCCTTTTGTTAGTAAGGGAGGAAAGACTTCAACCAATGCTATAAAATGGACTTACAGTGGGAATTTGAAAGAGAATTGATAGTAATCTAGTTCTCAGTGACAGTAGTAAAGCTCTTACCTGACCAAATCTGTAAATATTGCAGAATGCTTTTGAAAATCCCACTTACAGTGGTATTTTCAGAGAGGACTTTCATTTTACCATAATCCTATTCTGTATCTCTTGCAGTCATGTGTATTGCTGGTATTGGCTTGGTGGTGTTGTTCTTCAGTTGGTTACTCTCCGTCTTCAGATCTAAATACCATGGCTACCCATACAGGTTTGGGTTGTTTTTTTTTTTTTTCCTCTGCTCTTCCAGTCATTGTTTTGCTATACATTGCAGTACAGCTATATCGCCATTGACTTTTTTGGAGGAACTGGGAAAAATGCAAATACGGAGTTAAAGACTGAAAGTAGTAATAGAAGGTTTTAAATATTGACTGCCTGCTTATGAATGGATTTGTTTTTGCCAACTGGTGTTTTCTTGTCTGGTAATGTTAATGTAAATTGGAATGGAGAATTAGGCCAAGAGCTTATTTTCTAAAATCCAGTTTGGTGGGAAACGCTTCTTTTAAACACTTGTTACTCAGTGATCAGTAATATTGGCTGATACGATGACCAAAAATACCGGTATTCTGAGGGCAACACCGTTTTTTTCCATCTGGCCAAAGCAAAGATTGTGGTATTCCTTTTCATGCAATTACATATTACAAAATATTTTCATTCCCACATTGATACCTCAGCCAACATATGTTGAAAAATAAGTGCCTGTCTTCTGTTTTTTTCCTCCCTACTTATGCATGTTGATTATTAATCCTTATTTATGCAAATGTCTGATTCTCTGGACACATGTGAAAGCTAAGTGGAATGTTGCCCACCTTTTAATTTTTCTAAGATTAATAAGTGTTCTTTTGTTCCTGCAGCTTCCTAATGAGTTAAAGGCTTCCAGAATCTAACGGCAGAAGGATGGCGACTCTGAAATTGAGCCTAACGGAATGGAAGAGCTAAATGTGTATGGTTCATGCTACCTCTCTTTACATTGAATGAGATAGTTAAACACTGAACCAAAGACAACGTGTAGTGCCTTAAGTATAGCAAGCAATTTGCTGTGAAGGACACAGAGTATTAAGATGCAATCTCTTTTCATAAACTTTACATCTTCTTAAACAACTTTACTTTAAATCTAGTGAAATTCAAAGCTTACTGTTTAGAACTACTTTGTTTCCTTAGACTAACTATAAAATCTTTTAAATTCAATTGGATAATCTGTGTTCCATATGTTTCTTTTTCCCTCAAATATTTGTCACTTTGTTTCTTATTCATGCATAGCTGGTGACAGTTGCTTCTGTGGATCATGCTCTCTTACGGTTGAGGAAACCTCATCTTGTATCTGGAAACCTCTTCCTTCAGTCTGTACAGTGACCCTTGTAGCATACTCCACGTTGCAGTGGGAAATGGGCACATCCTAGAGCTGTATCTTAATATGAGAAGGGTACTTAATTGCTGTATGATGCAAGAGGTCCCCTCACAGAGGAAGAAACTTTTTAACAGGTAGAAATGACTTTTAAAATAACTGAATTCAGGATTTTTTGTTAAGTGACCTACTAATGAGTTTTCTACTTGATATTCAAGGTTTAAAAAAAAAAAAACAAAACAGCCAGATATACTTCTCCTTGCCCTTTCTCCAGCCTCCTCCCCCCGAGTAAATAACCAATAACTCCTATCCTCAGTTCAGTTGAAATCCCTATTTGTTACAGAGCATCTTGTTCAATCATTCACTGAACTTTCTTTGATTGCCAAATGCTGAGACTACCATGCAAGTTGTAAACATTGGCTCAAAGTCAAAAAATATTCTTAGCCTGTTCAACATTCTCCTCCCAAAAATCGGAAAACCAAAGCTACAGAGGTAACTCTCTGTAGCATGAGTGGCAGGGTGTTAACTGGCTTTTAAGTGATCGCTCAGTGACCTGACAAACCAGCAGGTATCAGATTTTTAGTCTCCATTGAAGTTCTCACTAAGTTTTCTGTAAATTTCTCTAAGCTTTTTTCTCTTTTTTTTCCAGCTTCCTCCTTGGGGAGGAGAAGGGGGTGGTGGGCAGAGAGACATCTAATCTCAGGATATATGTTATTACCCCATGAAAGATTTATTGGCCTTAAAATTGAGTAGATGCTCTCCTTGTTCTCTCACAAAGATATTATGCCTTAAGGATTCTTGAGAAGACCTTGTGCCTCAGTCCAAACTTGTGTAGTTTGGCGCCTATACTAGAGGAAACTTCAACAGCCTGATTCAGTAATAGTCCCTTCCTCAGGCTGTGGTAGCCTTGGAGGTTACTAGTCAGAGGCAAATGTGATGAGACTCTTGGCTCCTGCTTCTTTCTCTCCCTTGTCTCAAGGGGTTAAAGAATTTGGACACTTTGAAGCTCAAAGGACTGTATTATTCAAAGTACAATGTTATTCTTATGCAAGTTTGCTAAATTAACATACGTTTCAAGTGCCTTAACTCCACTAATTTAGTTGTTTGATGTTTCAATGTGTTGAGATGCATTTTTATGCCATACAGAATGACGGGCCTTAGTGGAATGGATAAATTGTGTGCTTGACTGGATTTTTGGACAACGTTCAATAAAATTTTTTAGTCTGTTCCATGTTGCTGTGTCTTTAAACTTTATGCTGGAAATCTCTGTTAAAGGCAGAAGAATCTATTTTCTTCCACTGTTGCTCCAACATGTTAATACAAATAGTAAGTAACCTGGATATGACTGAATGAACAGGATTAATACTAGTGTATGTGCATTTGTGGGGAGACTGTAGCTCAAATGTCGATACTAGGTATCTTCCTTTGCTATTAGCTGGTTACATGAGGTCTTGTGTGTCTGTTGCCCTCCCATCTTTGACAGCTGTCCTGAGTTAAAAATATGGGCTTCCTGGAGTCATAAATAGATCTGCTGTAGTATTTCCAGAGGTGGAATCTAGTTAGCACTATAGATTTGCCAGGAAAATTCTGGATTGTTACAGCTGTGATTCCCCCCCTTCCCTCCCCACCACTACCTCTTTGGTGCTTCAAGAATGTTTCCAGTGATTCCAATGAATGTGCAGGTTGGTTCTAATAAACTTAAGTTGTTTTTTTTTTTTTTTTCCCTTAGCAGTGCAGGCCAAAGTGGCTTACAACATCATTCTGCAGTAGTACATTTTTTTTTGTAAACTTTCAATTTTGTTTCTGATTTTTCTGGCCTGATAGTATTTTATTCTGTCCTTTTGAAAAGCATATGATCATATATTGACTAACTTTAGACAGTTGCACATCATGCTGGTGGATGGAAGGGAAATACTGGTCTTCCATTTAAGGCAGTATACTGGTAAAAATGATTCTGATTTTTCCTCACCTCCCACTTTTCAAGCTATATAAAATGAAAATAATGCTTGCTTTCTTCAATTGTTTTTCTGCTCTCGAGGCTGCAACTTAAGTGCATAGAGGAGGGGACAAATATAATAGTGGAGCAGAAGAAGAGCGAATGCTTGCAAGGACCTGTAGCAGACTTAGCGCATGCAGTCCTAGAAAGTTTTATTTGATCTACGCAGCAGCTGAGAGGCAATGGCCAGCTATAAGTGGGACACTGATTATCTGGCTCTTAGGCCCATCAGTGCATGCGTCTCACCGGACTAGTTAGTGTGATACAGTTCTGGACAAGTAGAAGAAAAGTGGAAGAGGCAATGCCTTAGAGAATGGGCATGTTAAGAGTGGGAGTTGGATAGGGACCACCTCCTTTAGAAAGTGAGGCATTAAACAGCTCAGAAATACTGTAAAAGCTCGCCTTAAGAGAACATTTACTGTAATAAAAGGAGCAAATGGTGTATTTGGTTACTTTGCTGTAGTTGAAAATGAACTCTGGTTTCCTTAACGTGGCTGGCCACAAAGATTATGGCTTTTTCTGCTTTTGAGAAGGAACTGTGCTATATTTGAACATTACTTTGGAATAATAGTAGCTGAAAGTAGCTCAGAGAACTCCCTATATTAAACCCAGGGCAAGTGAATAAATTGAACTAATCTAGGTAAAGGTTTATGCTTATCTAAAGGGATAAGATTACTGGAATCTCTCTTCAAATCATGCTAGTTGTGTGTTGAACGTGCTTCTTGGAATAGCGGTGCTTAGTCATTCCTCCAAGCCTTTAAGTTCAGAACCAGGGACATAACTGCTTTCTCCTCCGACCAGATGGAAGATGTCCTCAGGTCTGTGTCTCCATTGTATAGCTTGGTGCTCCTGCAAATATCTGTGAGATCACTTATGCTGAAATCATTTCTTTTAACAGGTTTGAATTACCAAATGCTTCTATCTGCTATGAGAAATGAATTTTCTTACAAAGAATTTGGAAGAGTACTGGCGTTTTTATCCTGTATGGGACCTGTGCAGTAAAAGAAAAAGCAGTGACCATCCAAAGCTTTAATTACTTTTATAACTTTAAAACTACTACTAGATTGATTCCACGCTATTAGAAGAAGAGGGTAACAGCAAAACATGAGAACAAAGTCAAGCTCTTGAGTAAGCTGTCATCTGTTTTCCGTTCTTCTATTTATTCTCTGAATAGAGAATAGGTCTGAATAGAGTTCCACTGCACATAATCTATTCTAAAAACATTATGCACATAATGCATAACGTGCCTGCAATGCACAGCATGTACATAATCTATTTCAAAAACATGAGAAGTGTCACTTTTGAAAGCTCAGCTCTTAACCGTTCCTACAAACTGAATCTGAGCCTAGTGTTCTACTGTTCTGGATCAATTGTGCTACTTTTATCATGGAGAAGAATCTGAACAAGATGTATTTGTACTTTCTAGGTCAGGAGCACGGACAATTATTAAAATACTCTTGTCAAATGATAACGACTACCCATGTCTTTCAGCCATTTTTCTAAAAACTAGGCTAATACCTAGTTAAGGAAATTAATTACTATCATTATGAAAGAAATCAGGCAGTGATGAGGCTCAGCAGTGACCCTCGGTTTGTCTTGCAATCCGTAAGCTCCAAGTCTCCATTCTTCTGAGCGTTTTGGAGCCAGCAGTGTCTGGTAGAGCATTTGGGCAAGTGATCCTGCGTGCTGGAGAAACCGAGCTGTTGGCAGGTTAGATCTGCAGCATGTGTTTCTAGAGAAGCATGAAACATCTGACTGAGAGGGTTGCAGTGTGTTCCTACTGCCTCCGTTTTTGACAATCTGACAATTAATAGTCTGGTTCTGTCTTTTGGGGTGAGAGTTGGGAGATGGAAATGTTTCCGTTCTTACTTGATCTTGCCTTTCCTTCAGCATAGGATTTTAAGGACATCTTTAGATATGTTAGGAATTTGAGGCAATTAGATTTTTTTTTTTTTTAAACAGCTTCCAAATACCTTTTTCCTTCTCCCAAGGATATAGATACATTTATTATTTTTACTCTATAGTTTTGTTCCTTTACTATGTAGTTGTTTTAAATCAGTAGGATATTAGTCATTAAAGCAGACTAAATCCCTTGAAAAGGAGAAAAATTACAAGGCAAATGAATATGTTGCATTCTTATTTTAATCACCTAACTGAAGTACCAATGCAGAACTAAGGTAATATTTCCAGCTTAATTCATCTATCCTTGTTATCAACTAGTGGCTGAAAAATGAAGATGGCTTTTTGCAAGTTTAATATGGGATTTGTGGCAGTTGGAGTTAACACTGATTTATTTTTCCCTTCTAAAACCTAGCTGAAAGGTAGGTGATGTTTTGGTCCTTTAGAATTGTAACATTGACCATGAGATAGTGTTGCTACCAAAAGCTGTTATTGAATCTGCTCTTTGGTATCGATAACGCTCACTAGTACAAGATGTAATTCTTGTGTAAAGAGTCAAATCCTGAAGCAAATTGCTTAGTCCAGTCTGCAGAGTTTCCCTGGGATGGGTAAGGCTATATGTGCTGAAGTCTAAAAATGCGATTTGTTCTACGCGCTCTTAGCCTTTGGAATGAAATACTTATTGAGGAGAGGTTACACTTAAAAGGGCAGGGCTTCCCCCTACAATTTTTCTCTTGTTTTGTGCATTACATTATGAAGCTAGGTGACTTGGTAGCTGCTTTTAAAATCTGAGCAGAAAAATGACCACTTTTCAAAGCCGGTTATCTTCATAAGGGCATAATGCTTTACTTGCCATCTATTTCAAATTCTGTCCAGTAGAAGACTTGGTATTTGGGGTCAGTTCTCCTGTTTTGGTGGTGCGAGAAGACCGAGGCTTACCCCAAACCCCAGCCAAGGTAGCTTCTTATGGAAGCGCGTGACTCCCCTCCTCGCGAGCTGCGCCGCCCTGACTGGCTGGCTGTAATGAGCGCACGGTAATTGGCTGCC